GTGGTAAGGTTGTTTAAGAGACATTGTAAGGGTGAATCACCCTGGAGGGAGGAGGCAGAAGCTCCCATTATGAAGAGGATTAGAGAGAGAGAGAGGGGGTATAAAAGGAGGATTGGAATGAGCCCTCCGGCTGGATGAGAAGGACGGAACTCAGAGGGCATCCCCAATGAGTCGTGCCGTTCCCAGGAGATGGGTTCAAGGATGAACCCAGGAAGGGAGGGGGTGTAGGTAGGCACCTAGACCCTCACTTCCCAGAGGCAACTGTGCCTGGAGCTGGAGGGACCTAGCGTGCTCGGGTTTTGGTGGACAGCGGGGGTCCAGGACCCAGTAGGAGGAAGGTTGGAGAGGAGTGAGAGAGAGAGGAATGGGAGGTTCAGCCTCCGGGGCCGGGAACGTGTCAATGCCGGGGCCGGGGGAATGTGATTAGGGTGAAGGTTTAAATAATCTACAAGCCTGACAAAAGGTAAAAGGGGCTTTCCTAACGGATGAGCCGGTAGTGGATGAAGGAAGCCAGCATCGGAGAAAATGGACGAGGGCGGACTGTCAGTCCTGGGGGGGTCGCGGAGGGGTCCAAGGAAGTCCGAGGAAGGAGTCCCCTGGCTCAGGGTGAACTCCTCCTGGGTTTCGTCACCAATGAAAGGACAGAGGACCCGAGCTGATAAGACGACAGGACCCGAGCTGACAGTTTGCCAGAGAAGTTCCACTTTATTCAAGGACTGTGCGTATATTTATAGGGAGCTGCGTTCCGGGTTTGGATAGGGGGTGGACGGGCGGTAGCTGATTGGATGGGGTTGGGCAGGAAGTGAGCCCTGACCTGTGACTGGTTGAGGTTTTTGGCACCGGTGGGCTTTTACTGCAGAGAAGAACCCGGAAGGGCGCCATATTGCCAGGGAGTGCGTTCCCCCTCCCCCTCCACTTGAGTGCCCACGGTGTTCTTACACACAGAATAGGGATAAACTGGAAGGAGAGGTCTTAATACATAGTGTAATTTTTCCATTTAATAGCCTGTTTATAGGTAATCCATTAAAAATACCTCAGGGCTGGCTCGTGAGCTCAGTTGGTTAGAGTGCAGTGTTATAACACCAAGGTCAAGGGTTTGGATCTCCTGTACCATCCAGCCGCCAATAGAAAACAAACAAAAAAAACCTTCAGAGACTCATATTTTCACTAAATTTATAATGTTCGTGTTGTCATAGGTTTCAACCCATATGGAAAAAGAAAGGACCAGATACTTTCATGATGATGATAATCTAAGCCTGAATGATTTAGTCAAAAATGAAAAGATGGGAGCAGCAGAAAACCAAAACAAACTTTTTATGAGAATGGCATCTAAGGTAAGATATATCCCTAGGATTCCTTTGAATTTGGGGAAGCTGGTTCTTTAATCTAACAATGATCTACTTTTTGGAGAGATTGGGTTCTCTCTAATCTTGGTTTACTTTATTAAATTTAATGCTTTGGAAGACATATTAGGAATGAAAGGATGGAGGACCCGAGCTGACAGAATGAAAGGACGACAGGACCCGAGCTGACAGTTCACCAGAGAAGTTCTGCTTTATTCAAGGACTGCGCGTATATTTATAGGGAGCTGTGTTCCGGGTTTGGACAGTGGGTGGACGGGGCGGTAGCTGATTGGATGGGGCTGGGCAGGAAGTGAGCCTTGACCTGTGACTGGTTGAGGTTTGGCGCCGGTGGGCTTTTACTGCGGAGAAGAACCCGGAAGGGCGCCATATTACCAGGGAGTGCCTTCCCCCTCTGCTTGAGTGCCCACGGTATCCCTACAAGGAACATGCATTTTGGAATTGATCTGATTTAGGAATATGCATTTGGGATTTTGTTTGTTTTTAAGCACAGGCTCTGGTTTATTTCTTTAATGTGTTCTATGAAGATATTACTTATATATTTCACCTACCATTTAAGAGAGAATTTTCGGCCAGAGGTTAATGATTGGCAGTGTGCTGCTAGTTAGGTTACCAATCTGTCTTGTCTTAATGGTCCTCTAATTCTTCGTAATTATGCCATGAAGAGATAGAAGAAAATATTTAGACTAATGTATTATGGATTATAGAGAATATATGTTGGAATGATTTTAAGTCTATTCAAATGAAAATATAAATACGTAATATATATAATTCATGTATACAGTATTTAAATCTTTATAGGTAGTGGGATGAATTTTTGTTTCAAATATCATTTTTGGTTCCAATCTCTGCCATTGTAATCCCTTCCAAACACTACTACTGAAATTTTTTTTACAAATGAGGCATTGTATTTAAACTTAGCTCTATAATAGGGTTTGGCTGACTGTGACTCCATGGAAAAAATTCAGCTCACTGCCTATATTTGCAAATAAAGTTTTATTGACGCACAATTACGCACATGTGTTTACATATTGTCGAAGGCTGTTTTTGCTCTGTAACGGCCAAATTGAATAGTTGTGACAGACAGTGTATACTCCACAAGAATACATATATTTACTGTCTGCCTCTTTACAGAAAAAAATTGCCACCCCTTGCTCTATAATAACAGTGATTATTTTTGGTAGTTTGTGTTTGAACTGGGTATCTGAAGGACAGGAATGGGAGGGAGACCTTTCATTGTATGCCTTTTCAGACTTATTCTTTTTTTTTTTTTTTTTTTTTAACTATGTGAGTAGATTACCTGATCAAAAAATTAACTTAATGAAAATTAATGTAACCAAGGTATCTTGTGTGTATATGTATGTGTTGGTGGAGGGTGGATGAAATACACTTGGATTTAAATAAAAATGGTCATTGTACCTGTCACTAAGAATTATATGAGATCTTACAATTTAGCTAATTAGAATAATTTTGCCTCTGTTTATTTGGGGGAAATGCTAGACATTTCTTAGGGTCTGGAAATTTCTTAGGGTCTGGAAAAAGGAGGAGGACATATTTTTATGAGTGTTTCCTTCTCAGAAATGGTTCCACTTTATATGGAAGTCTAAATTAAATAACAATCTTAATAATCTAGTCATAGTTCATTCAAGTTTATACACAAGAGAAAAATTCTTGTTAAAAATTGTAATGGGCATTTATTAATTAAACAATTGTTTTTGAACACCTAATTTGTGCCAGCTATCATTGTAGGTGTTGGGTACAGAGAAGCAATCAAGTCAAAGTTTGTGCCCTTAAGGAGCTTTTATTTCTAGTGGATGAGACACGTAATGAACAAATACATAATATAAAATATATAACATAAATGATGTATTATAAAATAGAAAATATTTTTGTGGAAAATAAAGCAAAGTAGAAAGGAGATGGGATTATATTTTCAATGGAGGATTGAGGGAAGACCTCTTTGTGGAGGTGATGTTTCAGCAGACTCTGAACAAAATGAGGGAGTTGAGGGGATCTGTGTGATTATATGGGGGAAGGATATTACAATAGAAGAAACAGCAAATGCAGAGGATCTGAAGCAGAGACAGTCTTGAAGAACATCAAGAGACAGTAGGAAGACAGGCAGATAGAGTAGAAGATGAGATGGGGGACACAGTAGGAGTCAGGTCACATAGAGTGTTACAGGCCATGGTGTGAGAACTTCTGCTTTTGTTTTACATGATGGAAGCCATTTGAAGGTTTTTAGTGGGGCCAAGTCATGATCTGGTTTATATTTTGACAGGATTTTTCTGGTTATTCTTTTGGAAGGTAATGTAGAGAGGCAACAGTGGAAGTGGGGAGATGACTCAGGAGGGTATTCCTTTAGTTCAGATAGAGCATTGGATTAGAGTAGTAACACAGATGACAAGTGTTAGGATTTGGAGCAATGCTGGTGCCATATATTGAAATGAGAAAAATTGGGAGGAACAAATTTTGCAAGGTGTAGAAGATTAAGAGTATTGTTATGGAAATGTGAAGTGTGAAATGCTCTTTAGACATTTACATGGTGGTATGGGGTGACTGTCCCTGGAATTATGGGTGATATTGGTTATTCCAAATAGATTTAGATGCTGTTAGCATTTAAATAGCAGTTAAAGCCATGGGATTTAAATTACTGATGAGGAGAGCCTGGAGACTGTGCCCTGGAGTGCTGTCTGGAAGAGGACAGAAAGTATTTAGCATATGAGACTGGGAAGGTACAGCTAGTGAGATGGGAGGAAAACTGAGGGTATGTTGTTTCAGAAGCCAGAGAAGACAGGAAAGATTGTTAGCTGTTTCTGAGACATCGAGTAAGATGTTTGAGGTTGAGTAAGATCTTTGAAGATGGGGAAATGACCATTGCGTTTGGCAGTGTGGAAGTTTCTGGTGACTGGTAAGTGTAGTTTTTGTGGTTTGGTAAGAAGAAAAGCCTAATTATATTGGGTTCAAGAATGAACGTGAGAGGAGTTGGCCTTAGAAAGGAGCCGATTACTGCCCACCACTTCTAACAGGAGGAAAGGCAGAGTTTCAGAATACAGATGCAGGTAGTTTTGTAAATTTGGTAGTAGAAAGATGAACGAGTTTTCTTCTTATTGCTTCTGTTAGCTTATTAAAGAAACTAAAGTTGTCAGCTGAGAGTGATGATGGAAAAGGGATGTTCAAGGTTTAAGAAGGTGTGAAATGGTGTTTGGGAGAAACTGTGAGTGATACAATGTAGGCTTGCTAGGTGGTCCGTCTGAGGTTTATGGTTATGTATTTTTCTTGTGCCACATTTTGACAGAGACGTGTTTCATTGAATCATGATACAATGACAATGACGTTTCATATTTTTCATATTTCACCACCATTGCTTATTACTTTAAGGGTACAAAGAATAGAGCATGTATATATAGGTTTTCTTTTGTTATTTGTATACTATGAAGTCTTGTACTAATACTTATATTGTATAGGATTGTTTTTAATATTAGCAGTACAGTCATGTGCTGTGTAATGATGGGTCATATGTGCTCATACTTGATGTAGCCTAAGTATACAGTGTTTATAAAGTCTATGATAGTGTATGTTAGTGTCCTATACCTTTACATTCACTCACCATTCACTCAGAGCAACTTTCAGTCCTGCAAGCTCCATTCATGGTAAGTGCCCTATATAGGTTTACCATTTTTTATCTTTTACAGTGTATTTTTACTGTACTTTTTCTGTTTAGACACACAAGTACTTACGATTGTGTGACAGTTGCCTGTGGTCTTCAATACAGGAATATGCTGTACAGGTTTGTAGCCCAGGAACAGTAGGTTATACCATGGGCTAAGTATACTCTAGGATGTTTGCACAATGACGAAATAATCTGTTGCGGGAGATAAAGGTTCTTGGATTTCCTGAGGGAGGAATACCATGGAGAATTTAACAATAACTCCAAGCTCATGTAGTGATGTCACACTCACACTCAAAGTTTATTGCAAAGTGAAAAGTACACACAAGAGAGAGTGAGGGCAACCTGGTGAGAGAGAAGCACCCTGTCATTATTCAGGGTCATGGGTTTTATATGTCATCTGGGGACTGAGATGGTGTTCTAACTTAACTAGGGGGAGGAATATTTAGTTTGGGTAGAGATTGGGGAAATCCTGGCTCAGGGGGCTGCTTCTCCTTTCGGTCATGTGTATTGCTGAGTTTGAAGAAAAGGGTCATGTGGCAATGGGGCCAATTTTCCCTTAAGTTTGCCCTTTTTGGTCTGGCGCCACATGTGAAGATTGTATAGTGGTCATTTGCATCTCTGTCCTTGTTAGTGCACATGTGTTGGGGTTTTTGTGATTTTTTTTTTCCTGTTCCGAAAACCGCAGAATTCTGGGGTTCTTTAATTTGATTGGTCAAGGGGTTTTCCTTTTTCCTCTCTCCTTATGGGCTCATTAACTACAAAACAAGGAGGTGGCTAATGTCTATTCAGCCTGAATATTCCTGGGTAGCCTACCTGATGTGGCTATGGACCCTGCCAAATGATGACACATTTATCAGATAGTATCTCTGTGGTTAAGCCATGCATGACTGTAATCGCATCTTTATTCGATCAGTTTCCCTGAACATTTTACATCTTTGATTTTTTTTTTTTAAATCCAAGTTCACTAATCTAGAACATTATAAAGCTAGAATACTATAAAAGTTTGCCAGTGGTATTTGGCCCTTAAAAATTTCATTCCCAGTCTATATTAATTTTGGCTTACAAAATAATGTCCCAATTTTATAAAATGACATGTTTTGGATTAAATAGTCCAATGAAACCATACTTATTAAATTTATTTATAAGAGGCTTCCTAGGATAGACAGTAGGTGCTCCATAAATGTTTCTTTCCCATCTTTTGTTCAATTTTTACACTATTTATAAATAAATGCTTGTTTCGTTTTTTTATGTGATTTAGATATTATCTTATAATTTCGGTGGAAATCAGCCAGAACTGATA